TTTGAAAGCCCAGGGTGGTGTAGAGGCCAAGGACCAGACCCGCGGTGATTGCTGGTAGAAGCAGCCAATGGTTGTCCTGACAGGATAGGCCACCAACCCTACCCATCCCCACGTTAATACTCCCAGCACACCCCCTGTCCCTACTTTCCTACCTCAGTGTGGCCAGCACTCAAGACCATCACCCTACCAGTATTGAGGGCAACTTGGACCAGACAACAGTGACAAGCATCAGGGCTGGGCCAACCTCCCAGCCCTAATTGAAGCGGAAGCGGACGAACCTTGCCGTACGGTACCTGGGACGTCAGGCTCATGCAATCTTCTACAGGCCCAAATCAGGGAGTCTACCCAGCGCTGGCCAGCAGGATTACCTAAGCAATGCAGGCCAAAAAATATGTTGTTTATGGTTTTGATTTTTTTTTAAATACACGAAGTTAAAAAAAAAAACAAAAAAAAAATGCTTTTGTACATCTTTGAAAGATCTACAACCCTATAACTTTTTTTTTTCTGTTTTTGTTTTAGCCTTTAGAAAATCTTTGTGACCCCCCCCCAAAAAAACTCATATCATTCCTTGTTTTTGTTTTTTTTCATTGTGCTTATGTTTTTGATTTTTTTTTTAAATATATTCAAAGCTCAAAACATAAAGTAAAAATATGGGGTTGTAGACCTCGAAAAGATTTACAACCTCATTTTTTTTATTTTTTTTTTCGATTATGTTTAGCCCAGGAAAAAAATCATTGCGGACCCCGTTTTTCCCCGGTCTAAAGAGCGTTTGAACGGGGGAATTCAACGCGCATTGAATAATTGAACGCGGAACCCGCGTTGAATCCAAAATCGGACACATGGATTACACATTCATGAGCTTCTCATCTGTCTGGGTTCATTGCAAATGTAAGGATGTCCGTTCAACTCTATAACTCTACTCTCGACCATCCCCGCGGCCCCGCCAATTTGGGTTGTTGTCGTGATTGTGCATAATGAAATCTTGAGAGACTCATGTCTTCAATCAGTACAGGCTCTCTCTCTCTCTCTCTCTCTCTCTCTCTCTCTCCCCCGCCCCCCCCCCCTCCCTCCCCTGTGGATGTTTCAGGCATCAAGACATTACAATAAAATGTGTGTGTTCATGTGTGTGTGTGTGTGTGTGTGTGTGTGTGTTTGTGTGTGTGTGTGTGTGTGTGTGTGTGTGTGTGTGTGTG